AACAGTTTCAATAAGGACGAAGTTGAAGCGAAGATTGGAGACAGTGGTTAAATGAATAAGTAAAAATTGAGAAGGTGAACATAATATATATTTATAAAGGGTGACATTCTGAAAACTTCCCACCCTCAATTTCTTTCTTCCAGTGAATAATATGAGGAATCGAAAAAACAGGTCGATTTTATTTTCAAAGGGGACACTTTGAATTATAAGTTTTACTCCTCTTAGTTCAATCCCCGAGGAGGGGTACATGTTACCCTTAGAATCTCGAATGTAAAGGGGGGTCAAATGACACATCATTTTGATTCTCTTCCCAACGGTACCCTAGTTTTTAAATCTTCTGTTGAGCAGTTTCCAAAAAATGCCCTGTCACTTAGAAAACTTTTCTCCCTTGATATCTGCCTTTTAGTAAATGGTATGAAACATCGAAAAGACACGTCAATTTAATCCCCAAGGAAGACACTCAAAATGCATATGTTTAGCTCTCTCAGTTCAACCCCTAGGAGGGGTAGATGATACCTTTAGAACCTCATGTGGAAAGGGGGGCCAAGATGCACATTATGTTGGAAGGCTTTCAAGTTTTTTTTCTGGGATGACCTCCAAAGCCTGCTAACCCTGGCTAACCACAAAAAGGTAACTCTTCAATGGGTGCCAGGGCATAAGGGAATTGAAGGCAATGAAGCAGCTGACGCTTTTGCTAGGCAAGGATCTGCGGCGTTGTTTATGGGACCGGAACCTGTGTTCGGTATCCCCAGAACCTCAATACGTGGTGTTTTGTAATTGGTTTGAATAGAAATAAGACTCTGAAGTAAATTCCAGTTTTATATTGAAGCTTCTCCAGAATATCTGACATCTATCTATTATCTTGACGACAACATCTGAAGTTCTAGGCTCACTTCATAAAACCCAATTCTATACAGAATGATTTGAATAAATGATTACCTACCTAACACAACACGTGGCTGGCTGGCAAGGTGGATGCAAGAAATACATCATGCATACTGGAACAATGTCCCAGGACAAAGACACAGTAAACTGATGGTTGGAACACTGTCCAGAACAGTGACTAGCGAAATTCTGAGCCTAAACAAAAGTCAGATCAGACAAGTGACGAGACTAATAACCGGTCACTGTCCCTTGAGGAAACATATGCATCAAATGGGCATCTATACAGACGAACCCATATGCAGACTATGCATATGGGTTCCACTCCCACCCATGTAATATTGGAGTGCGAAGCACTAGCGCGGTAGAGAAACAACCTTCTGGGAGAATTAAACTCTCAAGAGGCTTTTCCAACGAATGATTTGGTGAAGAGGCTGCGAACCTGTTCACCTAAGTCAACAGCATGATCAGGAATACAATAGGCCCAAAGGCTGCAGTATTTTAGGCTTCGAACCCTGACTGATCATTCTGCTATTAATCAATCAATCTTTTCAACAATACCCTAGTTTTTTATTTTTTGAAGGGTACCTATAGTTTCCGAAAAATGCCGTTCTAAACTTACAGAAGTAATTAGAACATGCCTGCACTGAGTTTAATATTTTTCAGGTAAGTATTATCGTATTGACTTCTTTCATTCCAAATGGTAGAGATTTTGAATGCATCTCAGCATCTCATCAACAAACATGTTCCAATTACTTCTGTGAGTTCATAACGGCATTTTTTGGAAGCTGCTCATCAGGAAATGATAAACTAGAGTACTGTTGGAACGAGGATCGAACACCCTTTGAAATAATGTGTATTCTTGACCCCTTTTTTATATACAGGGTGTAACTAAATAAGTGTGAAACATTTGAGGGGGTGATTCCTCATCGAAAAGAAGATAATATCTCTCATATAAAGAAACTTCACAAACGATAAGATTTCCACAAAATTCTCAAACACACGACATGTTTCGCTAACACAGTAGCTTCGTCAGGTGATATACTGGTACAATTAGGACTGGGAAAAAATATCGATATATCGATAAATATATCGATATATCGATATATCGAATAACGATATTCAAGTTTTTAAATATCGATATATCGATATATCGATAACTATCGATAAATCGATAATTATCGATATATCGATAAATATCGATAAATATAGATGAATCGATATATCGATATACAGTGTGTCCAAGATAAGGTTGCTCAGTAATGTCTTAGAAGCAACTGTGAGAAGAGGATATCTTTATTTAGAGAATAATGGTCATCATTTTGAACAATTGTTATGAATGTTTCTGTTGGTATTGCCAAAATCGAGTTATTAAAGTAATTCGTGTAAGAATTCATAATTAATTTGAAGCGCTGCATTGAATAATATGGTGAAATATTTTTTTTCCACTTTTCGGTATTGAATAACTATATAGTCCCTCAATGTTTGACACTAAATGATCAGAAACAAGTGGAACTGATGTCATTTTTCCTTTAGAATTTCGAAAACACATTGATGAGGGCTAAAAATAGGTCGAAACACATCGAAACCACCTTATACAATGAGTAGGTATATGTCAATAAGTCTATATGATTGCAAGATATTTTTTGAACTACATATATCGATATATCGATAAATATCGATAAGTCCGATATATCGATAAATATCGATAAGTCCGATATATCGATTAATCGATATATCGATAAGTATCGATATATCGATAAGTATGGATAAATATCGATATATCGAACTTATCGATAAATTTCAACTTATCGATAACCGATAACTGAAATCCAATATCGCGCAGCCCTAGGTACAATGAACTAAACTAACGTTGGCTTGCTTGACTTTTATATATCCTACTTTCCGAACTTGAAGGATTAGTTACCTGTGGACAGGATCGATAAACCTCCATTTTCGGAAATTAGGCACAATATCTACATTAAAATACGGTATACCGGATTAACTTGAAAGAGTTGATAGCAAGTGGGAAACTATATTGAGGTCTAATTGATCATTGAGTAAAATGTCACAATTTTTGAGTTTGTTGATTTCTAATCTCATGAAGTTTCTTTATATGAAAGATCCAATCTTTTTTTCGATGAGGAATCACCCCCTTAAATGTTTTAGACTTTATTTTTTATCGCTTGGAGCGCACGAAAGGAAATCCTATTAGGGGGTTGAACCAAGAGGTCAAACATATGCATTTGAAGTTTCCCTCTTGAGAATGAAATTGACCTATTTTTTCGATTTTTCATATTATTCACTGGAAGGATGATATTAAGGGTGGCGAAGTTTTTCGGAAACTGCTCAACAGAAAATGATAAACTATAGGCGAGACTATAGGGTACCGTTGGAAAGATAATTGAGTGCTCTTCATAATGATGTGCTACTTAACCCTCCTTACCCTTTGAGATTCTAAAGGTAATAACTACCCCTCCAAGGGGGTTGAACCGAGAGCGCTAAAAATATTAATTTCGAGTGCCCCCCTTGAAAATCAAATTGACCTCTCTTCTCAATTTTTCATATTATCCACTGAAAGGAAGATGTTTAGGGTGGGGAATTTTCAGAATATCACCCTGTATATATACCGGCATGATACCGGCTGTCGGTTTGAGGGTTCTGAAACGACCTGAAAATTGTAACTTCAGAGCGGTCTAACGCCCAAAACATCGTCCCCCATTGGTGGACGATGCTCAAACTAAGCAAATTTGTACTGAGGTATTGAGGTATGTTCGAGGGTATGTTTGTTTAAATCGAGTTGTTCTGGTCTGAGGAAAAAGTGGTAGAACCCTGAGTTGGAGTTTGTGTGAAAAAGATCCATGGATAATAGAATAAATTGTCTGGATCTGCAAAGTTCAAACAATCGAAGAAATGTTCTCGAAATGAACGAGATTTTTTGCAAACTCACAAATATTGTTGAATAAAAACGAGCTTTGACTTCCTGCAAAGAATGTTCAAATTTCAAATCGGTCAAACTATCCAATTCGAGCAGAATTACTATCTAATTTTCTCGTTTTAAATCAATCATTTTCACTGCTCAAACTTATCTCCGTCAAAATCATTCAAAAAAGCAATTTAGATGAAATCACTCGTCCTAAGGACTCGTGATTTTATAAATAGGTATTTCATACTCTTACCGCTTGCCAAATGAACAAAGTATCGACAAAATTCGAATATGAGCCTTCGATACTAATCCCTATGCTCTGTTGAAGCCAGTCTTTGAAACTGGATAACGTATCCTTTATTTTATACTGTCAGCTGAACTGAGGGTGGAATCATCCACCCACAGAAGCTCGACCTAAATAATTATCATGGAATCATTGATTCTCTATTTTAGTCCCCAACGCAGCAAAACCCAAAGAGGTCAAACGGAACGACAGAGCCTCAAAGCGCCGACATCCTACATCAACGGAATGGATCCGTGAATCTCTTCTGGATAAGGAGAATTCAATCAGCCAAACCAATCGTAACAGTTGGAAGATTTCCTAACGATTACTAGACACATGTCATGTGTGAAAGTTGGTAATGTGATGAGGTTTGGTGAATCTTGGCACGATGAAGGTTGAGGATACATCAGGTACAGGTTTCATCTAAATTGATTTGTTTGAATGGGTTTACCTGAGATAAGTATGAGTGACACAAATTGAGAATTCAGTTTGATATATATATTCTGATTTGAAATAAACACGAGAAAATTACATAGTAATTTTGTTCGAATTTAAACACACAGTTTACTGTGGACATTTTGACCGATTTGAAATTTGAATGTTCTTTGCGATAAATCAAAACTTTCATACCCACAAAAGTATTTTTCATAAAATATATTCATTCACTAGGATTAACACTAATGGATACATATTTTGTAATTCTGGATGATATATTTTTGATGTTACCTACTTGAATGAATATTGCGATTTTCTCGATTCAATTTCTTTTTCGAAAAATAAATATATAGAACATCAATTCAAAAGTGAGATGTCGTTTTTCACCATTTTTCATATATCTATCATAAAATGAGCAAATATGATAAAATTGTCGTCATTATATTTACATAGTAAGTAGGACTATGGGCACATATGGGAAAGTAAGTCTTAGTATGCAAAATGTTATCTGGCGAGATTAATGATTGATTTTTCAAAACAATATATTCTGTCTAAATTTGCAACATATCTTCATCAACCATGAAAATTCGATATCGTTTCTGGAATATATCAAAGTGCATGGGTAGAAGTATTTATGTCAGCATATTTATTTTTCAGTGACAAGGTGGAATGGCTGGAAAAGCAGAAACGAAAGAATAATGTGGTAATCCAAGGAAAGAAATTAGACACAAACGACACAGAAATACTTAAGGAAGGTATGAAAGCCATGATTGAGCAAGAACTGGAGATTACCGTTCAGGTGAAGTCTGCTTATAAACTGGGAGAGAAAACTTGCTTAATAGAACTAGAAAGAGAAGAAGATAAAGTCAATATAATGAAAAATAAATATAAACTAAAAAATAACAAAGAAGAAAGAATTTTCATAAATCAAGATGAAACAAAGAAAGAGAGAGAAAAAGGTAAACAAATGAGAAAAATTGCTAAAGAAGAGAGAAATAAAGGAAAACATGTGAAAATTGGTCATAACAAAGTAACCATTGACGGAAATGTATGGAAGTGGAATAAGGGATCTGAAAAACTCGAATTGGAACAGCCAAAAAACTGAAGAAAGAAAATACAGGACAGAAACTCAAGGTAACTGATTTGGCAAATGAAAAGGACAAGAATCGGAAGGTAAATCAGAAAAAAGAAATAATATGGAAAATTGGAACATGGAACGTTAGAAGTATACAAGGAAAAGAAAAAGAACTCGAAGAAGAGTTTGATGATTTAGGATTGGATCTCCTAGCAGTAACTGAAACCAAGAAAAAAGGGAAAGGATTATTGAAGACGGATGCAGAACACTTATTCATATACAGCGGAGTACAAGAGCGAAATAGAGCTTCAGCGGGAGTAGGATGCATAATACACAGAAAATTATCGCAACAAGTACATGAGTGGAAAGGATGGTCGGAACGAATTCTTTCAATAGAAATCAAGGACAATGAGGAACACATAAAAACAATTATAATCGTTTATGGACCTAATGAAGATGACAAAGCCCAGACAAAAGATACTTTTTGGGAAGATCTAACAATAATCACAGAAGAAGCAAAGGGAAAGTTGTTCATATTAGGAGATTTCAATAGCAGAGTAGGTATAAAAGATGACAGATACAATACGCAAATAGGAGCATATGGAGAGAACACGAGAAATAATAATGGAGAAAGAATGCTAGATTTCTGCATGATGAATAATCTGATTATAACCAATACATTTTTTGATCATAAAAACATACATAAATACACAAGAGAAGTGAAAAGTAGAGACGAAAAATCAATCATCGATTATGTACTAGTAGGAAAAGTAAACAGGGGCGAGATTATAGATACAAGAGTGAGAAGAGGGCCAGAAATTGGAAGTGATCATTACTTAGTTGTGACTACTGTCAAAGAAAAATTCCCAAGTAACCACGAGAATAAATTGAAAGCTTCAAAGATAGTGGAATATGAATCAGTAAGATCTTACAAATTACAGAACGCAGACATCGCGGAAAAATACAGAATAGCATTGACAAAAAAGTTCGAAGAGAAAATGGAAATAATAGAAACAGGAAATATAGAAGTAATATGGAATTTTTTCAAGGACACAATACTAGATACAGCTAAAGAAATATGTGGAAGTAGTAAAAAAAGTAATGGAAAAAAACAAACTGCTTGGTGGACGGATGAAATAAAAAACCAAATAAAAATTAAGAAAAAGAAATGGAAAATATATCTAAGCAATAAAACAATAGAGAATTATGAATCATACAAAGATGAAAGGAAAAAAGTTAAAGAATTGGTAACATCAGCTAAGAAAAACAAGTGGGCAGAATTTGGAGAGAAAATGGAGAGGGATAGCAAATCAAACCAAAAATTATTCTATAGAACGCTTAAATCATTGAGGAAAGAGAGAACGCACGACATTGTTAGACTTAAAAACAAGAACGGAAATATCCTAACGGAAGAGGATCAAATAATGAATAGATGGAGAGAATATTTCCAAGAACTTTTAGGAACAGATAACGAGAACATGGAAGAAGAACCAACACAGACTGTAATAATGGAAGGCAACAATGAACAAAACATCACACTGGAGGTTCTACAAGAAGTAATAAAAGAACTGAAAAATGGAAAGGCACCTGGACGTGATAAACTAACAACGGAGATGTTCAAAAATATGGGAGAAAAGGGGACGGAATTTTTGTTGGGACTCTACAGAAGAGTTTGGATAGAAGAGGTAATACCTGAAGATTGGAAAGTAGCGTCGATAGTACCAATACACAAAAAGGGAGACAAGGGAGATTGCAATAACTATAGAGGAATCACTTTGTTGAGCACGGCGATGAAGATCTATGAACAAATTATTGATAGAAAAATAAAGCCAATAATAGAAAACACACTAGAAGAGTCTCAAAGTGGTTTCAGGAAAGGCAGGAGCATTCAAGATCATATATTCACAATCAAACAAATATCCGAAAAAATGTTACAACAAAAAAAAGAAGTATATTTGGGATTCATCGATCTGGAGAAAGCCTTCGATAAAGTACCGAGACATATATTATGGAATATCCTAGCAGAGAGGGGAGTAGATGAAAAAATAATAAATGTAATAAAAAACATATACAGAAACAATGTCAATTGCGTTATCTACCAAAATAAAACATCTGGAAGTTTTTCAACAAAAGACGGACTGAGACAGGGAGGAGGACTGAGCCCCATATTGTTCACTATATACATCGACGAGGTAATTAAGAAATGCACAGCTAGAGTGAAAAAACTACATGTGGGATACAGATTCTTGAGAAGAACTGATATATCAGAAGGAGCCTTTGCTGACGACTTAGTAATTATCGCGGAAAAAGAAAAGGACTTGCAGAGAAATATGGGGATATGGAATATGGTACTTGAAGAATATGGAATGAAATTGAATACCAATAAAACGAAAGTGATGGTGATAGCAGAACAACAAAGAGATATTAATATACAACTTGATGGAATAAATATTGAGCAAGTGAAAAGCTTTAAATACTTGGGAGTAGACATAGAAGACAGTGGAAGACAAGACAAGGAAATCAATAGCAGAATAGAAAAAGCCCTGAACTTATATTATGCAATGAACAAATCATTTATAAGCAAGAGGGAAGTTACAAGAAAAACAAAGATAAATGTATTCAAAACAATTTATAGACCAATCCTGACATTCGGTTGCGAATCCTGGGTATTGACTAAGAAACAAAAAAGTAAAATACAAGCCATGGAAATGAAATATCTAAGAAGAGTTAAAGGGGTAACAAGAAGAGATAGAATTAGAAATATAAGAATAAGAGAAGAACTAGAGGTACAACCAACACTCGAATTCATAGAAAAACGTCAAATGAGCTGGTGGGGACACCTACAAAGAATGAACGATGCAAGGCCGGTAAAACAGGTATGGGAAGCAAAAATACAAAATAGGAAGAAACGAGGAAGACCAAGACAAACATGGGACGGAGCAATGGGAGAAATTTTAAGAAAGAAAGGGAAAACATGGGAAGAGGCAAAGATTATGACAAGAAATAAAAAGGAATGGGCCAAATTTGTACATGAAACTCTGTGAAATAGTATAATTATGTATAAATTATGTAACCCACCCTACACCATCATATGGTAACAGGGATTTTGATAATATATATATATATTTATTTTTAAATCAAAACAAAAAGCTAAAAGTCATTTCCACACAAATGAAATGAAAAACAATGGTAGATTTCGGGAGAAAAACAACTACTTCCCTGGCTAATGCCACGCAGAACATTAATTACATCCTCCCGAAATCTATGCATCGACTCGTATAAACGAATACTGATACAAGTGATTCTTTCCTGAATGCCTATTGATCTCGATTTAGCCAGGCCGCTAGACAACCACAGAACCGGTTTCGAGCTCTTTGACTCCCATCAGTGCAGTATAGTCTCCAGCCAGCAGTCCTGAGACGCAGACTCAGCGAAGCCTAGCCAAACAAAAATCAAGTCGGCATTATATTCACCCCGAGGCGTCTTTCATCGACAAAATGAAAGTAACGCCATCTGAGTAGAACAGAGGAAAGAATCACTCGAAAACTAAAATATCGAATGGTTATTGGTATCGATATCGAATGATTATGGCCGATTCGACTCGATTCGTGTGATAGAATCTTCCTGCAGATTCCATTATCACGAACATATACAGGGTAATGCAAATTTCATGGTACACTATTGTTAACTCGGAAACGGAGAGAGATGCGAACTACGTTAAATTACGAAAAAAATGCACAATTTCATGACCATTTCAAATATCAAAAAAAATCGAGGACATCCCTCTTATTTCCTGAAATATCCTGAAAAAACTGAAAATAGTCGATTTTTATTATAATCAATAACTTTTGAACTGTTTTTACTAGAGTTTTGAAATTTGGTACACTTACTGAAGGTCGCATGGCGAATTCAACGGTGATATGAAAAAAATTCTAGGCACACTAGATTCGAAGATATTGAAGCAAATTTTGATTTTTCTAATGGTCGCCATATTGGATTTTTGCGAGGGGTAAATCTCCTTGGAAGTCTGGTGTACACTCCGTTGGAAGTCTTTGGAATTCTTTGGAAGTCTTTGGATGTTTTTGGATGACTTTGGAAGTCTTTGGATGTCTTTGGAAGTCTTTGGATGTCTTTGGATGTCTTTGGATGTCTTTGGATGTCTTTATTGGATGTCTTTGGAAGTCTTTAGAACTCTTTATTGGATGTCTTTGGATGTCTTTGGAAGTCTTCAGAAGTCTTTGGGAGTCTTTGGAAGTCTTTGGGAGTCTTTGGAAGTCTTTGGTAATTGGAAGTCTGGTGTACACATTTTTCCTGGTGATTTACCCCTCGGATTTTTGCACCATCCGATAGATCAAAAAATTACCAATTCATCGATGTATCACACTTCCATGTTTGATGATGGAATGACGGAAATACAGGAAAAATAGAAAATCAATAATCAAGTTAACGTAAGATCTGCTATTAGGCTTACTATTCCAGATATTTTCACTGAAAGTCAAGAAAATGATATGAAACTCAATATCTGAGGTGCTCGACGTGATACTCGATTGCAAATAATGTAATTTGTTGCTCTCCGTATGGTTGCCTCTTGTACTGAATCGATTGTTTATACGATTTGTTCTCGTAAATCTGCAGCGTCTCTGATTGTTCTGCAATAAGCTGTATTTTTCAAATATCTTCATAGGATCTAGTTCAATGGATTCAGGTCCGGAGATCTAGCAGGCCAAGCCAGCGCTCAGGACCGTCTGGACCAATCCATCTTTGTTCAACATTTGACGCAACATCTGGGAAACCAAATGCAGCATTGTCGGCAGGAGCGCCATCTTGTTAAAACCACATTTGGTGATTCCGGTTGAAAAGAAACTCATAGTTTTCTCTGTCCAGGCAATCTTTAAGAAAAAATGGACCCATAATTCGTTTATTGGAGATGCCGTATCACCTATTAACCGATAATATTTTGATGGCATGATTCTTTCTTGAGCTTCGTATCACAATCTGCTCCTGAATTTTCTACACATACTTAAGAAACATCCTGTACATCGCTGTTTACGGGATTCGACACGTGCCAGCCAGTTCATCAATGTCAAGGAGGCGGCTGTCACAATGTCCAGTTTTCAGTTCTGGATATTAGAACATTAAAAATTCATCTGTCATTCTGAGAATTTGAAAATTATAATTGTTCACATCTCTACTGAAACCAAATTGAAATGGTGAATGTTTACAGCATTGAAGAAAGGAGTGATATGTATGATGTTTACATTCGCTGCTTTCGAAATTCGACGCGAGCTAGTGAAATGTATGAAAATTTATACCCTGAACGGATTCAGCCTTCGCGAAATTATTTCCAAAGGATTGCACAGAAGATCAGACTAGATGGAACTTTTGCAATAAGGCGTTCAAGGTGAGACATGTATTAACATTTTTGTATTCTTCCATAAATAACTTTCTGATTCACCTAGGTATGGAATGAGAAGAGGGTTGAATCTTAACGTTATAAATATCCTAGCACAAGTGCACATTAATCCAAACATATCAACTTATGCTATTGCAAGGCAGTGTAATGTCCATCAATCTACAGCTAGTAGAATACTCAAAAAGCAAAAATTCCACCCTTATCATTATCATGTAGTACAAGGAATCAGTCGAGAAGATTTTGCCAGGCGATCCTTTTTTTTGTGAATGGTTACAGAATAGGGTGAACAATGATGTAAATTTTCCATTGAAAGTGCTGTGGTCAGATGAGTGCCTTTTTACAAATAATGGCCTTTTCAATCGTCACAATGAGCATTATTGGTCCACAGAGAATCCAAAGCTCAAGAAAGAATCACGTCATCAAATAAGATTCTCGGTTAATGTCTGGTGTGGCATCTTCAATGGTCGAATTCTGGGTCCATTTTTTCTTGAAGATCGCCTGAACGGAGAAAACTATAGGAACCTGTTGAGAGATAGTGTTGAACCCTCATTGGATGGATTTCCCATTAATCAGATCCACCAAATGTGGTTTCAGCAAGACGGTGCTCCTGCTCACAATGCAGCATTGGTTACCCAGACATTGCATCAAATGTTTCCACGGAAGTGGATTGGCACTAACGGTCGAGTACGCTGGCCCGCTAGATCTCCGGATCTAAATCCGTTAGACTATTACCTATGGGGATATTTGAAAAATACAGTTTATGCCAGAACAATAGGAGACGCTGCAGATTTGCGAAAACAAATTGTACAAACAATTAATTCAATACCGGAAGCAACCATACGGAGAGCAGCAAATGACATTTGCAGTCGAGCTGCACTTTGTCTTGAAAATGGAGGGGGTCACTTCGAGCACCTCAGAAATTGAGTTCAATATTATTATTTTTACGTTTAATGAAAATTTCTGAAATTGTAAGCTTGATAGCAGATCTTATACGTTAACTTAATTATTAATTTTCTATTTTTCCTGTATTTTCGTCATTCCATCAACAAACATGGAAGTGTGATACATCGATGAATTGGTAATTTTTTGATCTATCGGATGGTGCAAAAATCCAATATGGCGACCATTAGAAAAATCAAAATTTGCTTCAATATCTTCGAATCTAGTGTGCCTAGACTTTTTTTCATATCACCGTTGAATTCGCCATGCGACCTTCAGTAAGTGTACCAAATTTCAAAACTCTAGTAAAAACAGTTCAAAAGTTATTGATTATAACAAAAATCGACTATTTTCAGTTTTTTCAGGATATTTCAGGAAATAAGAGGGATGTCCTCGATTTCTTTTGATATTTGAAATGGTCATGAAATTGTGCATTTTTTTCGTAATTTAACGTAGTTCGCATCTCTCTCCGTTTCCGAGTTAACAATAGTGTACCATGAAATTTGCATTACCCTGTATAGAAACTCAAAATGGCCAAACAAAAAAATTTTACTTCAGTATCAACAAAATACCATGATACAAGTTATACATTGGTACCGAAAACTCAAGTTACTAATATGTTCTTGGTCCAAAAAAATCATATCTGGATATTCATCCTGTTATTATCATCATTGTGATATCAGATACGGAAATAAAATTGATGACATACAAAGTACCTCATTGATGTATCGAACACAGTTAAACAGGAGCAATATTGTGTTATAGCCGTAGAAAATAGTAAATTATTCAACGAGCAAGGAATGACAGTCGAATTAGTAGCATTCCGTGCAAAATATACATTATATTTTTTCAAGGCTGTAACAGATAACCGCAATTTTTTTTATTTCATCGACTTGTAGCCATCTGATTTTCCCTTAAGCAATGCGATATTAGACAGAGCTGTTATGGCTTGAAATTCAACATTTTATGGAAGATGACATGGGCTTATATCACAAAAAAAATTTATTTCATAATTCGATAGAACTCACTCAAACTCGCTCACCACCGCAAACCGTTTCTTGCTGTGAGCTCCCTACGTTTTATAAAAAATTATTGATATCCCCGATTTTTCGGAGCACTAAAAACGAGGCGATGATGTGACAAAATCCTAATACTGAAACAAAACTATACCAGACAGAGTGAATTAGCGCGAGATCTCAGTTGAAAGAATTAATATATATCAGTTGCCTCAGTCTCCGTCGGGCGTTTAATATTTTCTTTTAACTATGGCGAGATGAGGTTTCTAAGTCATTAGAGGATCCGTTTTCAGAAGGTACTAATATTTATGTCCAAAAATGAAACATTCCAGTTAATTTTTCGATCAAATTATATCGTCAATCATTATTTATGTATAGAAGGATCATTTTAATCATGGTTTGAGTTGAAAATTCTACTAAGGTGTACACGCCCATTATTGAGGAATTTTAACACAATTGTGTCATTGAGATATCAGATACGGAAATAAAATCGAAGACATACAATGTATCAAGTGCAATATTGTGTTAAGAAAATACATTTTCTTCATTCGAATATCTCCTTATTCATGTAACAATAGTTTTTTCCAGTGAATTTCACTTGTTTTCTGGTAATTTTCACAGTTTGTTTTCTGTGCGTGTGAGATTTCAAAAACAGTTATCAACATTTCAATTCCATCAGCAGTATGTATAAGACAGATAAACGATCAACTTTCCCAATCATGCATATGTGTTTCCTCTCCTCCTAAGTTTCTCAACAAAGTGATATATCAATTTTCTAGATATCATCAAGCATAATAATAATGAATTCTTGAAATCAGGATAAGGAGACGAATTGAAGTTTAGTGGGAGAACAATTTCAATTTTGATTAGCTATCACCACCTGAGTTGAATTTCGCTTTTCACTCCTGATTGAATTTGTCAATTTATCGAAATAATAATAATAATAATAATAATATATATTTCTCAAATTGAAAAGTACAGTTGATGTAAAAATGTAACAATGTACAATAATAAGAGAAAACATCAATAAAACCGTATATATACATATACACATCATAAAACACAAAAATATATAAACTCACAAACAACAAGTAAAAAAATAAAAATACAATTATTTGAATAATTCACCATCATATTATTGTATGATGATAAGTCACCCATAGTCTATGAACTCTTGAAAAGTGTAACAGTTTCTTTGAAGCAACAGTTTCTTCAACCTACATTTGAATATAAAATAGGATTATTGTAGTCCCTGAACGAACGCCGGACAGATTTCTTTGAACAACGACTTTCTACCAGATCATAAAATATGGCATAAAGAATGAAGACTGGATCTGAAGGTTAGAATATCAAATCTGGCGCACTGTGAGAGCTCTATTGGCATCAGGATGCGATTTGAACCAAAACGGAAATGCATGTGCCTACGACTCCTTTGAAACAACCCCTATTTTCTCTTTTCCGTGTACTTTCTATATAATGCATATTATACATGCAGAAAGATCAAAGGTGAGGTGAACAATTATATAGAGACTGGATGCATCTGATATTGACAGGTCATTTCACGAACTTTTACCCTCGATATCAACATCAAATAACAAACATAGCACGATGCAAAGACGGGGCCCAACAATTCAATTATTCGAACGGTGTTATCGACATCGATAGGAATGACATGAATGAAATACTACACCTTTTCCAGTTGTATTTCAGAAAGCATCAATAGGCGAGTGGACTGATTTTTTTTTCATTTCTTAAATAGAATCATCACTCAGATACCTCTCCTCAATTTCAAATTTTTAAAGAATTTTTTGGTCGATTATTAGGTGCTAGAATCATCAATAATGCCACGGTATATTTCAAACGGATAGAAATTTAACGCCAGGAAAAAGTGATGTCACGATTTCGTAAGTAGGAAACAGACCATAGCCGTTACCACCGATACAACAAGGCCAGCAGACTCTGACGTAAACAGCTCGTGACGTCACCATGAGAGGCCAGTGTTTTATTTTATCGCTTGTCGACTACCGCGTCAGTTCGTGTTGATTCATCGGTGATTCACGTATGTTTTTGAAAAGGTCCCGAATTCTTTTGTTGTTTATTCATCAAAATAATTGGCGGAAAAATTACTGTTTTGTGAAATATTTTGTGTTGTGACCGGCGAAATAACAATGCATTTCAAGTGTTGTGTTCCCTTTTGTCGTGGGAATTATGTGGGTGGTACAAAAGTTCATGCTTTTAGTTTCCCGTTGGACGAGGAGCTATCGAAAATGTGGGTATATGCAATTCACCGCGAGGATTTTACTCCATCTAAGTTCAGTAGTAAACAGAGCTTAATTTATAATGATGAATTAATAATAGAAGACAATTACTCTCTCATAAAAAGTATAAGTAGAGGAAAAATAGAAAAGCTTTGATTGTGCAGTTAGATTTGTATTCGTATATTATAGTCAACGAAATCATCTCTGAATTTGAGGAAATTTTCTTGAAT